CTTCACTTACCTTTTCTGATTCAATTTCTTTTGTGAATCATGCACGTGCTCTTTTTCCCCCTAACATTTTCAAAATCTTGTACATAATTGGCTATGGAATTTTTAACTGTGCATAGACTCGTTTTTGGCAACTTATTGTAGCATTTCAAAATTTTTATTTTTAATTTTATTTTTAACACATTCATGGCGTCAGAAGATAAACATTTAGGCAGCTGCTGGGCGTTACGAGTCACAGGTGACTCATAGTCTATTTTAGTACAGAGTGGCGTGAGTCACCCATATTAAATTAATATATTTTATTGCTCCTAATAAAATAATATCGATATATCACATATAATGTTTGTAGAATTGTGTTATCAAAAGATATGCGCTGCCCCATGGAAAAACAAGCAATTAAGTCTGTAGCTCTAACTAGGCATGTCCATACGAGTCACATGTGCCTTGCAACACAGTGAACGTGTTAAAGAACAAATCTTTGAATTTTTTATTTTTTTTCTTCCATTATGCTAAGGGGTATAGTACAGTACTATACTTTTAATAAATAATAATGAAGATTTATCTTCAACAACAGGAAATAGCTAGCCTATGAAAGAAGTAACAAGTATTATAAATTGAAATTTAAACTATAGCACTGTAAACAGTATTGAGTGCAAGATAAAATAAATGTTTAACCTACTAAGAGTAAACATCTTATTTGATTGGATGATTTAAATTGATTTATGTTAATGTTTTTATTGGGATGACATAGCTTGTAATTAACTGTTATCTGTTTTGTCAATTGACCATTATTAATCTAAGTAAATTCAAACTTATCATTAGTAATGTAATGATCATTATGAATGAATTTCTGATTGCAATAAGTGAAAGTTTTGTAATGTTGTTTAATGTTTTATATTTTGGAACACACAAATATAATATACAATCATTAATTATTATATATTATATTTTCAGATGCAAGATCTTTCTATTTTAGAAGAAGTATTACGTATGGTATTAGAAATCTTAAATTCTTGTTTAACTGCTCAACTTGCACATAATCCAAATCTTCTGTATACTTTATTATATAAACGTCATGTGTTTGAAATTTTTCGTACTCATCCAACTTTTCAAGATATCATTCAAAATATAGATACAGTATGTGTTTTTATTAAACTTAAAAATTGTAATACTTAATATACTGCTTGGAATATAAAAAAGACAAATATGTTTTATTTAATTTTTAATGTAGGAAAATAAAGCATAAAAAGTAAATTTTAAATGTTATTTTTCTGTTTCAGGTTTTAGTATTCTTTTCATCAAAACTAGAAACAGCTGATAAAAATTTATCAGTAGCTGAAGTTTCTGAAATTATAAAACAGGCTACTTTACAATGGCCTTGTGATAAATTAAAAGTAAGAATTATACTTATTTTGAGTTTTTATTTAATATTAGCTGCTAGTGATAAATACAAGTAGAAAGTTCATTCAAAGCCTAAACAAGTTTTTTGTTGAATAAATACTTCTTAAAAGAAATGAATATTTTTCATTCAACAAAAAAGATTTTGAAAAATTACTCATTTTCAAAAATCATTCAAAAAATTATTTTCAAATGTTAACTCAAGATATTCATGAGCTAATACCTATTGAAGTATATTGTAGGCATGTAGTAGAGAGAATGTCATTTTGTTTCTACTCTTATTGGCTGTTACATAAAATATTGCTATACTAGTGAAATATAACAGTAAAAAAAAGCAATCTTTTATTAAAAATGAACTGTTTTGGCTACATATGATTATGAAATCATATTTGACCAAATATTTGATCAAAAATGATTTTATAAATTTGTTCCTATTTGACAGAATCTTTTGAATTATTTTTACATTTAAATATAATATGATTTAGAATGTTTTTTAATTTTAATCTTATGTATTTTATTAACAAAAAATTTTGTTTGAGGAATAGTTTGCTTTGATGATTCATAATTTTGAAATTAGTTACAATATATGGAATGTAATGTAGTTATCATGTTAAAACCATGATGTTAAATTTATGCAAAAATGGTAAAAAATTAGACTTAATAAAATCACAATAAAATTAACATTATCAGGGCTGTAGTGGAGGATATGTAATGGTATGTCATATATCCTGTTTTTTTTCCTAGAAATATCATATATATCTAGGAGTATGCTTTATTTATGTCATCAGAAGATTATATACTTTACTGATTATATATACATAGGCCGTTTTTTTTCAAGCTCTGATGGTCCATAAAACAAGTGTAAATAACAAAATGAATTTATTACCAAAAGTTAGGTACAAACATGATTACTTTTTGACATAATCACTGTGAAGATTGAGGCATTTGTCATATCTGTGGATGAGCTTTGCAATTTCCTCTTCATAGAATGTTGCCACCAGTGGACCTTAACGTTGTTTTGAAGATCATCATTAGTCTCAACCCTCTGCCCTCCTAATCACTTTTTCTGTTGAAAGTAACCATGTTTGTATCTAATTTTTGGTAATAAATTCATTTTGTTATTTACACTTGTCTTTGTTTTATGGACCATCGGAGCTTGAAAAAACTGCCCTTTTTTTGTTTGTTTGTTTGTTTGTGTGTGTAATCAGTAAAGAATAACTTTTTAAATTTCAATTACCAAACAAACATTTTTATTTTTTATAAGCATGTACTTTTTTGTTATATATTCTGGCCAATGGATGTCATAGAGACTAGTAACATACATAAATGTCATATCTCTTCAATATTTGTTTTTTTAAAAAAAGGAACTAAGACCATTAAGTCAACTTTAATAACCTTTAATGCTATGCATTTTAGATGGGAAAAAACATCTGACACCACTTACACTTAACTTACAACTTACTGCAGTATATAGTAGCCAGAATATATAACAAGACTATACATTGCTTCCATAACAATTAATTATTTGAAATCTTTTTTCTAATATTAAATGTTGAAGGAAAACATTCCAAAGTTAAATTGTAAAGTATTTTATTCTGTTTTTGTTTGATGCTAAAGATAGTCAAAATTAGCCAAAAAATTTTCATATTNGAATAACTCTTATTATGTAACTAGAAAAAAAGTGTTTTGTCAAAAATGTGAATAGTATAAAATGATTAAAAACCATAACATCAGAAGAAAAATAATGGCCTAAATCAATAGTTCCTAAAGTGGGTACTACTGTTCCCTATGGGCAGTGAGTAAATCAAGGTTAGTTAGAACATGTTCTAACTAAAAAGAAAGGAAAGGGTTCATCCAAAAGTCACCTTACAGTCTTCCTTTTAGCAGAGTTTCCTTTACTTGGAGATGGACCACTTCAGTGGGAGCATACATAGAATCCTCCAGCTCCAGATGCTGGTCTCAACAATTGGATGGCTGCTGTCCAAATCTAGACATAATAATGCACATAATACCTTCCAAGGGAACTCTAGCTGTCTTCCAACTCAGTCAAGATACCTCGAAAAATTGTCCAGGAGATCTTTGTCCCTTCACTTTTAAGGGGTTCGTCTAGTCCAAACCACACCAGGGTCAGTAGCTTGCATTCAGGTCCACTTCAGTCCTGGTGTGATATGTCCCGCTATGCTGGCCTCTCCAAAAAAATCGAACTGCCCGAGCCAAAAGACAAAATTGCTTTGTCTCTGCCAACCGTTAGGCCTACATGACATTAGTGTATATAGTGTTGACATATTTTTGGAAGATCCCTAAAATATATCAAAAATTGCTAAATTCCTTTTCTGCTACTGTCCCAATTAAGCAATTAAATTATGTATTAATTTATTAGTTTGGTTTTCATTCTTTGCNGAATAACTCTTATTATGTAACTAGAAAAAAAGTGTTTTGTCAAAAATGTGAATAGTATAAAATGATTAAAAACCATAACATCAGAAGAAAAATAATGGCCTAAATCAATAGTTCCTAAAGTGGGTACTACTGTTCCCTATGGGCAGTGAGTAAATCAAGGGGAGGGCAAAAAAAAGCAAGTGGATGGCAGTGGGCACTGAGGCAGGGTACTGACCAAACAGTGTGACCATAGGAAAGGATTGAGGTCATTGATAAAGCATTCCCTTTCCTTTGTTAAAACAGTTAAGGAGAAACATTGCATTTAACAGTTTTCAGGTGTACAAAACAATGTACAGTAAAGACACAAAGTGTGAGGTTTGTAGAAGAGTTTTTCTAAAATTTTCTTACAAGGAAAATGAGTTAAAGGTCATTGGAGTACAACTGGTGTGTTGGATATAAATTTATGGAACCAAGGGAGCAGTGGCTCTAAAAAGTTTGGGAATCACTGACTTAAACAAAGAAATCAAAATAAAGTTGAGGAACTAAAATGTTACAAGAGTTGGGTACTTTCCCACATAGGAACATATCCCATGTGGGAAAGTTTTGGATTCATATGAAAGATTAGTGTAATTAATAAGGACAGTAAACTTTTCCTATGATATGGAAAAGTTTGTAAATAAGAAGAAAAAGTATTAATAGCATATTTTGTGTTTAATTTTATGTAAAAAGCAGAAAGACTTGGCCTAATACACTTATTTTATATTTTTTGTGGTTTTTTTTTTGTAATCAAGCTATGTGCCTACTTTATACGGATTGAAGGATTTTTGATATTGTCTGAAACATTTTATCTGATGATGATTTTGCTAAACCTTAAAAGCACTTGAATTATGAATTTTTCTGAAGAAACTCCAGTAAAAATTATTTTGTTTTCTTATAGTTGTTATATATATTTCTTATATTTCTTTTACTGTAATGTTTTATAAAGTATTTTAAGTAACTTTGATTGGTAATTTGAAAATATTGTTTTCTTAATATGATGATTTTTTACAATACTATGTGCTGTAAGCTAGAACTTCTAGATAATAATAATAATAACACCTTTCTCACTTTTTCTAGCAAGTTTTAATAAAATGAACTAACATTATTATATTGATAAATTTTTTTATATATGTTTTAAGTCTAGTTTGTTTTGTCTAAGCTTTATTTTAATATTTAAAAATTTTTAGGATAAATATCTTCATACAAATTGTTTAGCAGCTTTGGCAAATATGTCAAATCACTTCAAAAGACTCCATCCATATGTATGTCAAAGATTTGTTAGGTAAGTGTTAATAATAATGATAAACGAGTTAATATAATCAGTAAAAAAACTTTATTGATAAATTTGTTGTTAAATAGAATGAAAACTATGAAATAATCATTTGAAAAATGATTATTTCATAGTTTTCATTCTATGTATGTCTTAGTGTAGTTTTAGTATGATGATGCATATTTGTATTAANAGTATTACGTATGGTATTAGAAATCTTAAATTCTTGTTTAACTGCTCAACTTGCACATAATCCAAATCTTCTGTATACTTTATTATATAAACGTCATGTGTTTGAAATTTTTCGTACTCATCCAACTTTTCAAGATATCATTCAAAATATAGATACAGTATGTGTTTTTATTAAACTTAAAAATTGTAATACTTAATATACTGCTTGGAATATAAAAAAGACAAATATGTTTTATTTAATTTTTAATGTAGGAAAATAAAGCATAAAAAGTAAATTTTAAATGTTATTTTTCTGTTTCAGGTTTTAGTATTCTTTTCATCAAAACTAGAAACAGCTGATAAAAATTTATCAGTAGCTGAAGTTTCTGAAATTATAAAACAGGCTACTTTACAATGGCCTTGTGATAAATTAAAAGTAAGAATTATACTTATTTTGAGTTTTTATTTAATATTAGCTGCTAGTGATAAATACAAGTAGAAAGTTCATTCAAAGCCTAAACAAGTTTTTTGTTGAATAAATACTTCTTAAAAGAAATGAATATTTTTCATTCAACAAAAAAGATTTTGAAAAATTACTCATTTTCAAAAATCATTCAAAAAATTATTTTCAAATGTTAACTCAAGATATTCATGAGCTAATACCTATTGAAGTATATTGTAGGCATGTAGTAGAGAGAATGTCATTTTGTTTCTACTCTTATTGGCTGTTACATAAAATATTGCTATACTAGTGAAATATAACAGTAAAAAAAAGCAATCTTTTATTAAAAATGAACTGTTTTGGCTACATATGATTATGAAATCATATTTGACCAAATATTTGATCAAAAATGATTTTATAAATTTGTTCCTATTTGACAGAATCTTTTGAATTATTTTTACATTTAAATATAATATGATTTAGAATGTTTTTTAATTTTAATCTTATGTATTTTATTAACAAAAAATTTTGTTTGAGGAATAGTTTGCTTTGATGATTCATAATTTTGAAATTAGTTACAATATATGGAATGTAATGTAGTTATCATGTTAAAACCATGATGTTAAATTTATGCAAAAATGGTAAAAAATTAGACTTAATAAAATCACAATAAAATTAACATTATCAGGGCTGTAGTGGAGGATATGTAATGGTATGTCATATATCCTGTTTTTTTTCCTAGAAATATCATATATATCTAGGAGTATGCTTTATTTATGTCATCAGAAGATTATATACTTTACTGATTATATATACATAGGCCGTTTTTTTTCAAGCTCTGATGGTCCATAAAACAAGTGTAAATAACAAAATGAATTTATTACCAAAAGTTAGGTACAAACATGATTACTTTTTGACATAATCACTGTGAAGATTGAGGCATTTGTCATATCTGTGGATGAGCTTTGCAATTTCCTCTTCATAGAATGTTGCCACCAGTGGACCTTAACGTTGTTTTGAAGATCATCATTAGTCTCAACCCTCTGCCCTCCTAATCACTTTTTCTGTTGAAAGTAACCATGTTTGTATCTAATTTTTGGTAATAAATTCATTTTGTTATTTACACTTGTCTTTGTTTTATGGACCATCGGAGCTTGAAAAAACTGCCCTTTTTTTGTTTGTTTGTTTGTTTGTGTGTGTAATCAGTAAAGAATAACTTTTTAAATTTCAATTACCAAACAAACATTTTTATTTTTTATAAGCATGTACTTTTTTGTTATATATTCTGGCCAATGGATGTCATAGAGACTAGTAACATACATAAATGTCATATCTCTTCAATATTTGTTTTTTTAAAAAAAGGAACTAAGACCATTAAGTCAACTTTAATAACCTTTAATGCTATGCATTTTAGATGGGAAAAAACATCTGACACCACTTACACTTAACTTACAACTTACTGCAGTATATAGTAGCCAGAATATATAACAAGACTATACATTGCTTCCATAACAATTAATTATTTGAAATCTTTTTTCTAATATTAAATGTTGAAGGAAAACATTCCAAAGTTAAATTGTAAAGTATTTTATTCTGTTTTTGTTTGATGCTAAAGATAGTCAAAATTAGCCAAAAAATTTTCATAATAAATATATTTTTTGTTAACTTGAAAATAAGTTTTTTTCTTTTTAAATTAATATTTTAATAATAATAATGTAAAATTTTTTTTTTTGTTGATTTTTTCATCTGATAGCAAGATTATTATTAATCATTGAAGACAAGTCTGTTCAAAAGGGACTACCATTTATTTTGTATTCCAGACTTTACACATACACATCCATGGCGACAGGCCTTCCTTTTTAGGCTTCATGCTGCCAGAGGTAAAAAAAAAAAGCCCTTTAAAAAACACAAACATCCAATTAAAAGAAATCGGTGACACACAGACATCTTACTCTTTATCCATATGGCCAATTGGATGTGTATGTGTAAAGTCTGGAATACAAAATAAATGGTGGTCCCTTTTGGACAGACTTGTCTTCAATGATTAATAAAAAAAATATATCTTAAAAAATTTTAAATATCATATTTAATTGGTGTTTAGTTGAGCAATGAAATTGTGTCATTTTGTACCATCCAAGTTTTGCAATAAATGTGACAATGGTAGACTGAAATAACCAAACTCTTTATATGGTTTTTGTTTTAATGTTTGTTATCTTATTACAAAGGTTATCTTACATAAGGGTTTATCACACCAACTGGCCAATCTAACACATTTTAAAAATACTTTATTCCTCTACTGTAGGGGTGTCCAACCTTCTAGTCTCTCTGGGCCACATTGGAAGAAATTATCGGGTTTTGGGCCACAAATCGCTGATGAGCAAAAAAAAAAAAAAAGACAGAATGAAGGCAAAGTGTATAATCCTCATATTTAACANCAACGCCGGGCTCATCAGCTAGTTTATTTATAAAATATATAAATAATAATGCCTTCAGGGCAGGAGGAGCCACAAATGAAAAAATTATATATTATATATACACCCAGCTACCACCTAATATGGTCCTGCCCTGAAGGCATTAAGAGGGATTTTTTTGTACTATTATTGGCTTGGCCAGGACCATATTAGGTGGTAGCTGGGTGGTGAGGAGCAAGACCGAAATATTTGGGATATACTGTCCACAAAAAGTTTTTGGGACTTTTCACCCATATTTGATTCTGAATTCCCAAAGCAGCATATATCTATTTTAAAAAATTGTTCATGATGCAATTTCAATGTCTCAATGTGTTAACAGATTATAAAAAAAATTAGTAAAAAAATTTATTACTGAAAGGTTAATAAGTAAATATATATATTCCAGAAATTTCCTGAGTTGAAGTTCAAATATGTTGAAGAAGAGCAGCCAGAGGAATTTTTTACTCCTTACGTTTGGTCATTAGTATTTCAAGCTTCGAATTTATATTGGAACCCACAGCATATAACTTTGTTTAATCCAAATAAAGAAACTTGAATGAAATTGGATTATATCATTAAATTACAGAATCTAAAGGACTGTTAAAAATTAATTCATTTATCATTTATATATATATATGATAAATCTTAATTAATACTGTTATTTTTATATAATTAATATTTAATTCTTTGAATTACTAAAAGTAGCAGGACAAGAATTTTTTTATTGAACAACTTTAGTGATCTATATTATTACTGTAATATTAATACAGAAATGTTTTATTAGTCTATGTATTCTAAAAATTAGATCAAAATAATATATAATGCTTTTATATTTCTGTAAATAGCTTACATTTTTAAAAATTCAATAAAAAATTATATTTTTCTCTTTTCTTTATAAAATATTGTTTGGAATAAGTTTATTTAAAGTTCTAATGAGAATTTACAGTATAATTTACACAGGCATACTTTGAAATAGATTATTATCCATGTGTGTAAGTTAGTTTGGATTTTTAAATCAATTATTTATTTATTACATTGTACTAATGGTAATAATATAAAATAAAATACTACTAAAATTTAAAATATTGTTAAAAATTTGGTATTTAAATATTTGTAAATTAATAAAATATTTTGTTAACAATTTATTATAAAATTTGTTGTTAAATAATTAACACATTTAAGTAATGAGAAAATCCAAACATATTCAAGATGTGAGGTAAGATATTAATCTAATATAAATAAAATGTTACATTATATACAATATATCCATTTTTAAATTAACTTTGTTCCTCCTTTTGTAATAAAATAACTGTTTTTAAAAAAGAAGTGCATTTAAAACTGCAAATTATAATTGTTAATTAATTAAGACAAGTAAGCTTTTTATATTGGATAGAAAATAAGTGAAATCATATTACATGAAATGTAGTTCTTGGACGATATCTTTGATATTTGAAATGCTATTCTGAATTAAAGGATCCAAGAATAAATTTTTATTTAAAAAAATACTCTCTTTTATACAGAGTAGTCTATTTAATTAATCAACTGAAATAACTCAAAAAATATGCATCCTACAGAAAAATACATTAAACTAAAAATGTTAGATTTCAAGGAGGCCATAAGGCTATTGATTTTATCATAGATTGAAAGATGCCCTTATTAGAAGTTATAAGTTTAAATGCCATCTCACTAAGCATGCATAAATCTGAATACCTGTGAAATCACCAGAAAAAAAAAAGCTAAAATATCATTACAAAACTAGTGTCACAGATTATTAAAGCCATCAAGCTTGTGATAAAGATGATCATCATGATTCCATTTTGGTTCTAGCTGTCACTACAAGCTGCATGCATTGGTGTGAGGTCAGCCGATTTGGGGTGAGGTGTTCGACAGCCGAGCGGTTCCTTCTGTCGTGTGTGGGCGCAGACTGACTTCCTGAGACAGGTTTACCATATAACCGTTTATTAAACATCGAAATTTTCCTTACAGATTACTTGTTAGACGAGGTAGCACCCCAAAGCGCACGGATAAAGTTCGAAATAAAGTTCGTAAAAGTCGGTTTTCGTCGCTAGAGGATGGACGCTGTCGGTGAAACACTCGGTGGGCCCCGGGGCGTTGATTACGGCTTTCGGCGGCTTCTCGCGGACGATCCGACGAATCTGTCGATTGCTAGGAGCACCCAGAGAACGATGCTTCCCCGAGGTTCCAAAATGTCCTTTTTTTTCTAAGATTTGGAGCACGACCGTCCATGAGACGACACACTGCGTATCCAAACACCACGAACCAAAAACTACGAACCAAGAACCTTCGTCTCTTGGTTGGCCCAATTTTTTGTTTTTTTTTACAGCAGTCGCCTCTCCATTGGTCTCTCATTGTCACCTGGTGACAATTCGAAACCTAATGGAGGGCGCGGGAGAGGTTAACATAGCGACTGAATATGATCCTCTCTCTCATCGCGTTTTCCTCGAATTTCTCCGTTTCCATTGTTTTACTAATTTTCCGAAAAAAACCCATTGCATTGTTCAATCGAGACACCTAATCCGTTTCCTTATCGTCTGAAAAGGATCTCTTTATTTTCGATCGAACCCATAATTCGGACCTCTCAGTCGACCCCTGTTCGGGTCCTCACATTGGTATTGTAGGAGTTTTAAATGTTACTTTCAATAATAATTTATTTCTTACTTATTTTTGGTTGGTCAGCTCTGAACTGTTCGGGATTAAATAAGAAAGGTTTTTTTTTAAGTCTTTCCGCCCTGTGGGCACTAAGAGAGCCTCTTTTAGCAAGCCCATTATGAATTCAGCCAGGCACACAATGGAGTGGCTGGGTGGTGAGGGACAGGGCTCAACATATCTGGGTGGACCACCCCCGAAAAATTCCTGGAGATTTTTCGATCCATCCAGATTCGATCCTGGGTCCCCAAAGTGATAGGTTGCCACCCTAACTGCTCGGCCATCTGGTCATCATCATATGAAAAGGTTAAGAATGTTTGGTTTCTCAAAAATAAAGAAGAAAGAAATGGTTTTGTTTATTTGTGGTAACAGGACACGTTGACAATCTGTCAAGGGGGTGACTCTTGAAATGACTTTATGGGAAACTGGCCCCTATTTAGGTGTTTGAAAACTGTGAAGAAAATCCAGAAAACTCCATGTGGTCAGTTCATTGGCAAGGCGTGAACTCACCAACTACCATTGTTCAGTGACGGTCGGATGGCCAAGCAGTCGAGGTGGCAGCCTACCATTCTGGGGATCCAAGATGAATTCAGACGGGTCTGTCCAAGGATGTCACCCCATACTTCACCACCCAGCCGCCCCATTGTGGGCCTGACCAAAACCCGTAATGGACTTGCTAAAAGAGGCTTTCTTAGGGTCCACAGGGTGGAAAGAGTTTTAAAAAAACACTTCAGTGCTTTTATCCACTCGGCCACTGATGTGTTGAAATGGTTAATGTCTTGAGCCGATTCGTGAGCTTTGCGGGTAAAATCGAATCCATGTTTAAGAAGAAAATTACGAAAAATATCTAGTCCAAAAGTCACTGAAATTTTTTGTTCGTTACTTCTTCATCGTCGAATACGTTTATTTGGATTGGACCAAAGTAAATTGCATAATCCCCTATCGGGTATATCAGTAGGTCTGTGAAGACCTACTGATATACCGATAGGGGATTAATTTAAATTTCCTCGAGATGCGGCTTAATCCTCCATGATATAAAACTATCTTGTCTTGCATGATAGCAGCAACAGGAAAACATTTTAAACTACTAATAAATACTTTTTATATTTTTGTATTAAATTTCTGTCGGTATTCTTTATGAAATCCGTAAATTCCACTTTTAAAACCACTTAAAAGGAGTTTCTTTCGACGAATAAACTAAAATGTTACGTCCTAATCCGACGCTCACCCAAGTTCAAGAATTACTCAGAAACAATTCCATTTAAACCCAATGATTTGTGATTGTATATTTGATTTTATTGACAAATAGAAAACGTTTTTAACGACTCTTTCTCTGTCGACAGAGAGTAATCACCTAAAGAAATTACTTTTAGGTGAAAGGCCACCAAGCTAAAAAAAAAGTAACCTATTTTGGTGCTGTTTGTGAATATTATTGGATATCGAAGCTTCCATCAAAATACAGTGGACCCCCATAACACGGCGAAAAAATTGCAATTGTATTCGTATAAGCACGCTAAAAGAAACTCGTATAATATGGTAAAACGTCATCGCTGACTCGTGTTGTGACAGGATTGGTCGAATCTAGACCAATAGCGGATATTGCACAAACCGTTGAGTTTAAACGAGCACTGGACCTACTAAAAAACATTTATTATTCAACAGCCTCAACAGCCATAAAAATTTATATTAATGATGTCTCCAAAGTTCAGTGAATTTTTCGCAGAAAAATAATTTATCGGGAAACACGCATGCTGTTCGATGCGCCGCTCCATGACAAAAACAAGCTTAAACAATGACGTCGTCGAACGGTGCACACTCGATAAGTAATCCTACAATTTTTTGTTTATAGCATAGTCTATATGGATTATTCCCAAAAAATTATACATGTTTTGGAAATGTTGAGTCAAATTAGTCTAGAATCGATTAATTTTATGGAGGAAAACCTTTCAAACATCCATAGTCTGTAAACTGCACACGTGCCAGGCTGTGATTGGCTCATGTCAGAGTCGGTAGATTAACTGGTCTTTTGACTTCCTACCTTCGCTCGTTGCTAAAATCAACTAGAGACAAATGTTATCACCAGGGGCACTGCAAGAGTGCTAGATCGAATTGCTGTGAGGATGAATGTTTTCTTTTTATTAAAAGATATATAACCTTCGAGTTCGATTTCATAATTTTTTATATGCATTTTATTATAAGAATGAAAAAGCTTTTATTTAAACCCAAAACCAAGTTTATGGATAAATAAATGACATTTAATAAAACATCTTCCATCGCTGAGAAATGTTTATTTAATAAAACACTAACATTTTCAGCCTCAAGGAATAAACCATCCTCAGGTGTAAATGAGTTCGAACGTATTTTATTAAATAAATATTTCTCAGCGATGGAAGGTGTTTAATGTTTTATTAAGTGTTTTAAAAACGCTGACTTTGATATTTAGTTAAATAAATGACAAAGAACAAAATTGACACAATAGTACTATTATTAAATTGTGCTATTATGTGAATTTATTATACGTTAAAAATTTATTGTACATACAAACAAATTATATTATACATATTAATAATAATTATTATTTTTATTATTTGCGTTATTAAAATTTACTTTAAGTGAGAAATTTTTCTATGGTTTTTACTTTCAACTGATGAAATAAATGATTGATTAATCGTTCGCGTGAAAAAATGCAATCGACAAGTAACAAAAAAGTGCAAAAATCTGGAAGTCAAGTAGGACTTGTGACCAGCATTGTCACATCCTATCATCAATGTAACAGAGCACTGATTTAATATATTATCCATTATTGAAAAATAAACATCCATGTTTGGGTTTGTTAATTTTTCGCATACTTTGCTTTCTGCCCAGTACATCAATTGGCAAAGCTTATAGCTTGGATATAACAAACCTCCTCGAGATTTGATGAATGTAAATGTCTTCTCTGGTGCAGCATCCTCAGGTTTTGCTGTTAATATATTTTTGCATTCATCACAACCGAGTGATGGCAGTAGACGATAAATAATATAACCTCCTAAATAATGTAGGATAAACTTAAATGTTTCTGGTGTACAATAATCATGATCTAATAATTCACTATCACTAGGATCTCCATAGTATAAACTTGGATCACAAAGCAAATTTTCTAAATGTTCTT